CAGGGAGAAGAACAGGGGCACCTACAGTGAGCCAAGCACTGTGCTGGATGCCCAGGGCCACAGGAAGAGTGTGGAGGGCCCGGTGGCCAGGCCAGGCATCCTCGGCAGTAGCTCTTACCTGTACTGGGTGACAGCTGGGTTGGCCTTGGCAGAGCAGTGGAAAGTGACAACATTGTCTTCCAGCACTGGCTGTGGTTCCACCGACAGGTTGACAAGCGGGGGGTCTGCAGGGAGAAGAGATTCCCTTGTAGACGGGGGAGCTGTGTCCACGGTTTAGGGAAAGAATGAAGCAGGAAAACCTGGGAAGATCCCCTAGGTGACATGGAAGGTAACGGCTAGAGGTTCTACCACCACGATCCTGGGGATCCCTGGAGCTGCCACCACCCCAGGGGACCCCAGAAAGCTGGGGGCTTCAGCAGAGGCTGCCCCGCTCCCTGGTGGCGCCAGGGCTCCCTCTGTGGATTCAAAGCCTGGTGTTTAAATGAGCAGCCAGCCAGGCAGCATGGCTGCCTGGGGCCAGGACTCTGCCATTCACCTGTCCACCTTCCAGCTTTTAGACAGAACAAAAGACTTCAGAAAGGAGAAGGGGCGGAGGGCCCAAAGGCATGAGGGGCAGTGTGGACACCAAGACCCATTTAAATACAAACTGTCTTCTCTGAAATGTCTGTGTCATATCTGTGTGAAGGTTCTGGTGCATCCGTGAGCTTGAACGTGGCATTTACACCCTTTCATCAGCCTAATTGCCTCCCGCCATTCTGACTGGGGTCCCCCAGCCCCCGCTCCCCAGGCTGGGCTCAGCTTTCTCCCTGATGAGAAGCTCTACAGTGCTAAATGTGGGAGGTGGCAGAGACAGGGAACTGAGAGGGAGTGAGACAGGGAGACAGGAAAAGAGACAGACACACAGAGAGATCTGGACAGAAAGGATGGCAGGCGGGTACCTACGTAGGAGAGAGACACGGAGGAGAAAGGGGCGGGGACTGAGAAAAGCACAGGAGGAAAAAGAATCAGAGAAACACTGAGAAGCAGAGAGCTGGAGAGAGACACAGAGAGACTGACTCACACACAGAAACAAAATCAGATGAAGATTTCAGACTAAGAGCAAAAAGACCAAGGGAGACGAAGCAAAGAAAATGACAGGGTGTTAGAGACGCAGACCAAACAAAATAATGAAATAATGAGGAACAGAGAAAGAGACAGGGCGAAAGAGACATGGAGAGATATGGAGATGGAAGTAGAGACAGAGGGATCCACAGCCAAGAGACAGAGAGGTGGAAAGTCAGCTCAGAGAAGGGCTTGGAGACAGCGGGCCCCCTGAGCTCAGAGGAGCTGGCTTGGGACCTTCTCCAAAAGCTGGTGTCCCCCATGCTCTTGGGCATGCACCTGGCTCCCAGGCCTGGGGGTCCAGGTGTCCACACTCCAGGGAGGGGAGATGCCAGCCAGTGGTTCTCCCTCTTCCTGCCATGCTGTGGAGGTCTGGCTGGAGTCCTGCTCTCAGTGAGTTAAGAGGGCAGCATGGTCCCTGTGGCCAGGCCCAGGCCCTGGGCAGCCTCCAGAGACCATTGAGGGAAAATGCTGATCCCTCTGGGTGCATGTGAAGGGCCCAGGAAGGGAGCAGGACTCAGCCTGCCTGGCCTGGTTTCTGCTTGAAATGACAGGTGGGGGTCCTGAGCCCCTCCAAGAGTCATAGCCCAGCTCTCCAGCTGCAGGTTGAGCCTGGCTCCCCAGAGCTGGTGTCATTTGACCACTCAGCCCCCCTTTGCCCTGCTGGTGCTCAAGCTGGGCCAGGCCTCCCTCCCTGCCCAGTGCTAGGCCTGGGGGCTGGGGCCTGGGAGATGGCCCATGGGGCTGAGGCTGCACAGGTTTCTGCAGATCTCTTGTTAAGACACGGGTTCCTGAGCAGCAGGTGGCTGACTGTGCTGGGGCCTGTGCTCCCACTTTATCCCCCAGTTCCCGATGGGACCACAGTCCCTGGAGCATCTGCTCTTGGAACAGCTGGCTTGCCTGCCTTTTCCTGGAGAATTCCCAGGGAAGTCATTTCAATATTCTCAAGCTTAGTTTTTAAAGCATAGTTCAAGTGGTCACAAAGATGCACGAGGCAAGGACCAGCCATGAGGGCTCTCCTTCCACCTTCCACCTTCCAGGAGAGCTATGACCCCCAGGGCTCTGCAGCCACCCCCAGCTGCTGCCCATCAGTGAATGCTGCTCACCCAGCCCAGAACTACCAGCTTCCAGGGCCAGACTACTCAGGAGTCCCAGCCCTCTTTCCAGGCAGGGCTAACCAGCTAAGCTGGACACCCCAAAGCTCTGAAGGTGCCACCCCCAGTGACATGGAGACCCAGGGAGGAGCTGCATCTCACTGGGGGCTGGAGAAGCATGTTCTGAGGTGTAGGCATTTGATAATTGCCATCTGGTACCCTCGATACAAGCCTTTCCTGCAGGACTCAGGAGAATGGGCCCCGGGAAGCATTCACACTCTCCACTTTCACTGCACCTCCACCCCTGGCCACAGGGGCCTGTGTCCGCCTCTCCAGCCCCCACCTCTGGTTGTGCAGGATATGAATTTGTAGGAGTCAGCCAAGCTCCAGAGGCATCACTAGTTGATGCCATATCCAACTATTAAACATGATTTTAATCCCTCTCATCTTGTCGGCTGCATAACTTGCAGAGGGCAGCTTTGATGTCGTTGCTGGAACAGAGATCACATCGAACAGATGTTACAGCTGAGAGTCTGTTAGTGTTTCTATCAACAACGTGTGTGTGTGTGTGCGCGTGTGTGCACTTGCTCAGGGGAAGTATTACATGGAGGAGGGGATGGGAAAAGAGAGAAATTCCATGACTTGGTGATTTTATAGCACATCCATTTGCAACTTGGCAGCTGGATGCAGGGTCCAGATGTAGTGAGATTTTGGGGTTGTTAAGCTTTCTCTCCCATTACTCAATCTGGGGGCTTTGTCTTCCGTTGGGTAACATATAAAGACCAAGGGAAACAAACAACACATGTGTTTTTGCTGAGTGTGGATGCTTCTTGGTTGACTGAGAAAATGAGCAGGTTTGCAAAGGCAGCTCATCCAGCCCATGGCGTCCACACTAAACAGCTGGATGCTTATTGAATGAACAAACGGATAAACGGAGGAGGAAGGAAGGGGGAGGCTGGGGGGGACGGAGGCTGTGCTTTTGCTTGGCACACGCATGCAAACACTTACGGGAGGGACAAATGGGTGGAGGCCTCTCTGTTGTTAGGGCTGTTGGGGTTCCTGGGGGAGGGATGGTCTAACACCCATGACCGTGCATGGTAACAAAGCAAACAGGTGCCAAGTGCTCACCACCTGCCAGGCTTTGTGCTAGTCCGAATGATTTAACGCAGTCTCAGCAACCCCACAAGCTAAGCATTGTTACTTCTGTATTCAGATGAGGAAGTGGAGGCGCAAGAGGTTGAATAACCGGGTTGACCTTGGCAGAGCCACATTCAAACCAGGAAGAATGCTGCGTGGCCTTAACTATGGCCCTGTCCTTCTCGTATGGGGCGGACCTACGAAACCAGGCATCTGGGTCCTCAGCCTCCATCTGACCTTGATCCTGATGCCTGAGGTGTCCTGGGAAAGACAGGCAGCTGGGGCCCAGAGACCTGGCAGGGCTGGTGTCCTCCTCTGACTCAGACTGTCATCACACTCTGATAAATTGATCATCTCATTAGAGTGCATTTAGGGTCATGACTTTTAATAGTTGGTGGGCTGCCCAGCCTGTGCGGCTCAGTAGCTGAGCGTTGACTCATGAACTGGGAGGTCGAGGTTCAATTCCCGGTCAGGGCACATGCCTGGGTTTTGGGCTCGATCTCCACTAGGGAGCGTGCAGGAGGCAGCCCATCAATGACTCTCTCATCATTGGTGCTTCTCTCTCTCTCCCTTCCTCTCTCTGAAATCAATAAAAAGATATATTGGTGGGTCTGTGTGTGGTGATGACTTTCTTGTTGACAGGGGAGGGGCCTGTGGCCTGGAGCAGATGCCTCTCCTGGGTCTCCCTGGCAGGGCCCAGGCCGCTGCCATGGGAGCCAAGCTGGTGGTTTCTTCTGTGCAGGATTCGTAGCTGGCACAGGCCTCCCGACCAGGTTGGGGATTGGTGGGGGAAGGAGGAAGGGGCTGCACCCTGGCCACGGCTGGCAGCTTGGCGGTTGGAGGCTGGACGTCTTGTGCCTCCCACGTTCGTTCCTCCCAGACTTAGCTTTAATTCACGGTCAATCCCAGGGCAAGAAGGGAGCTGGGAGGTCATTCAGTGCAATCAGACAGGGAACTGGAGTCCCTGGGTAGAGAAACAGGCTGGGCAGGCACAGCTCAAGGCGGGTGGAGCCTTTCTGGACGCTGGGCCAGCTGACACCCACAGCACCTTGCCTCCTCTCGGGGGCTGGGCCTACTGCTCCACACCATGGATCGCCTGCTGCACAGAAGCAGGTGGGTGTGGAGAACCAGGGCCTGGGCGAGGGCTGGGGAGGGAGGCACCCCTCTCAGACTGACCCCTGAACTTACAAGACCCTCAGAGCGAGCGCCTCCCTTCCATCACTCTGATGTTCTTGGCTCTCACTGAGTGAGGAATGAAAGAAAGCAAAACCCCTTCTTGGCGTGGAGCGAGGAGAGGGGGCTAATAGTTGGTGGAGACAGTGAAGATAAAGCTTCTCCAAGAACTCGGCTCTGTGTCTGGCGTGCACAGCGAGCCCATCTGAAGTTACTGCCATTTCTTCCACCCTCTGGAATGCAAAGGGCGTCTGCAAGGACTCGGGAGCTGAGCAGGGATGTCTGCTCTTGGGCCCCCGTATGGGTTCAGAAAACCCTAGGACACAGATCCTTGGAGAGGTACGTGGAACAGTATCCAGAAGCCCTAGACGAGCCAGGGCGGTGGGGAAGTGTTTTCAAATGAATTTGATTGAAAAGGACTAGAATGCTGAGGAGGAAATGAGTGTTGGCCTGCAGCTCGAGCTCAGAGCTCAGAGCTCAGAGCTCAGAGCCAATGACCGAAGTGCCACAAGCACATGGTGGCATTGTGCTCCCTGGCAGAAGGGGTGGCTTAAGGGAAGAACAGTTGATTTTTGAGAGCTGATAGTTTAAACCTAACCTGGTCCGGTGCTGAGAGTGAGGCTACTGGAGCGCCTTGCTGAGCCCTTCTGTGTTCTCTGGGACTGACAGGCACTTTAGGGGACCTTTAGGAGTCTCCTTTAGGTAACTTTTGGACTATGACGCTGGTGTAGTTTTAGAGCATCATTGTTAATATTAATTGTAATAACACCCTCGCTGAGGCCCACCATTCAGAAGCACAGAGGAGGGGTTATCAGCGACAGCTCTGCAAAGCTAGGTTGCCTGCATTGAAACCTCTGTGGCCTTGGGCCAGCTCATCAGCCTTTCAGGGGCTCAGTTTCCCCACATAGGGGCCACAGTCATACCTACTCCAAACGGTTGTTGTACAGATTAAATGAGATAACACATGCAAAGTACGGACTGACTCTTCTCCCTCTGCTTCCTCTTCTGTCCTTGACCGGCCCTTCCATGAGAGGGCCCCTGTAGATCCTCTAGAGGGGCTGGTGCTACTCATGAGGTCTGAACCCCGAGGGCCCCTTTAGCTCCCAGCAGCTCTGCTGTGGCTTCCTCTCCAAGGGACTGTGTGGGCCACCTGGTGAGGCCAGCAGGGCGGCCAGGGGCCGACCAGGACATTCAGTGATGTGGAAGTCCTACCTTATACAGGTGTGGGAATGTGGCTTAAAAATGTGATCTGCCAAGTTCCCTCATCTGAGATGTTTTCACCTTAAATGACAACAAGGACAAGCTGGCCCTTTGGGTACCCACAGATTGAAACCTGGCCAGTCCATGGAGCTGTCTGACCTGGTTCCTGCCTTCGGATGTCCTGAGGAGAGGGAACCCGAAGGAGCTGGGGTGGGGCTCTGCTGAGCTGGTTGTCCAGGCCCAGTCCCTTCCAAAACCTGTGCCCTGGGCAGGGGTGCAGGTGGCTTCCTCCGGGCCCAGGCCAGGCCAGTACTCACGCTGGATGTCGATGGTGACCGAGGTCTCCTTCCCTCCAGGGATGGCTTTGTTGGTGGCTCGGCACACGATGCTCTGCCCGTTCTCCACATCTCCAGGGGAGATGAAGAGCGTGCTCACGATGCTCTCGCGCTTGCCGTCACGGAGCAGGGTCTGGGGTAGGGACAGAAAGCATGTCACTCGGCTGGGATGGCTTGGCCTGGCAGCTACAGGAAGAGGGAGACCTGTGCTTGGAGGACCCCAGGCACCAGTCTGTGCAGAGCTGGGGTTACCACGGCTCCTGATCTGGCTGAGTGTCGGGCTGCAGAAGGAAAAAGGAACTAGAAGGCTTCCCATTGTGCGTGGAAATCAGCCTGGACTTGCAGGCCCCTGATTAGAGAGGAAGCCAGGCCGGGCTTAATGGACACCGGGCTGCAGGTCCCTTGTAGTAATTCCCATCTATCTGCCTTTCATGTCCGGGGGCCTCTGGGTCTGCAGGAAGCTCTGAGCTGTGGGACAGGCAGAGCTGTTGTTCCGTGGCAGCCACATGGTCTGTAGAGGGGGCTGCAGTTTGGGGCCTGGGGCTAAGGGCAGGCTTGGGTGGGGGTGCCGCAGAATCAATGGACCCGGACTGGCTTTATTACTTAGATAAAAACCCTTTCAACTTTTCAAATTTCACTTCCTGAGCTATTAGAGCTCTGACCAAGTTACAGGCAGGACAGATGCCATTGTCTTCCACGCGACAGGTGAGAGAGCAGGTGAGACCAAGAGCGGCCATAGAGCTTGACCAAGCTTACACTTCAAGATGGAGGTGAAATAAGGGTCTTGTAGTGGGTTAAGTAGCGCCCCCTCCCCGCCCCAAGTTCATGTCCTAGAACCTCAGGATGTGACCTTATTTGGAAATAAGTTCTTCACAGATTAGCTGAGTAATTAGTAATTAGTTGAGAATCTGGAGACAAGATCATCCTGGATTGAGAATGGGCCCTAAATCCAATGACTGGTGTATTCACAAGAGGAAGAGACACAGGGAGACAGAGGAGACATGGAGAGACTGAGGATAGACAGAGAGACAGGGAGACAGAGGAGACAGAGAGCCACAGGAATAAGACGCGATGAAGAGGGAGGCAGGGACTGGAACGATGCTGCCACAAGCCAAGGATGGCCAGGAGCCTCCAGGAGCTGGAAGAGGCAGGCGACAATTCTCCCTAAAGCCTTGGGAGGGAGCGTGGCCCTGTCAGCACCTTGTGTGCATGCAGACTTTTGGCTTCCACACTGTGACACGGTGAATCTCAGTTGTTTTAAGCATCAGTTGTAGGACTTTGTCAGGGCAGCCCTAGGAAAGAAACTGACTTAAGTCCTAAGGCCTTTGGTCTCCTGTCTTCCATTCCTTTGTTTCCACAGGACCCTGAGGTCATTCTGCAGCCAGTTCCACCATCATCCCTCCCCTGCACCCCTTTTCAGTTCCCTCCCTCTTAGTTTGGTGCCCTGGGAGCTGAGCCCGCAGGTGACCTGCTAAGGTGGGTGCGTGCTGGGAAGCGTGCGGGGCAGGAGGGCCACTCCCAAGTAGGAGCTGGTCGGTCCTGGGTGGCTGCTGATTCTGGGAAGGAACTGACTCCCTCCAGAAAAGGGCTGCCAGATGCAGTCCTGTTTTGCTGAGATTAGAGCCAGGAACAGAATAACAGACTTGACTTCCTCAAAACCTCCTTTAAAACAACAACAGCATCGTCTCTAATCTCACCAGACCCTGGAAGAAGGGGAGCATTATTTCTATTTAGCAGAAGAGAAAACTGAGTTCAAAATGAATCAGGAACTTGCTGGGCAGGGCTGGGCTTTGTACTTGAGAATGGTGAGCCCTGAGCCGTGACCCTCCTGCCACAGCTGGAAGGAGGTGAGCATGATCTCCGATTAAAGGTGGGAACGGTCAGAATCATTATGTAGCCGCCAAGGTCAGGGAGCCAAGGTCATGTGGGCTGCTGGAACAGCTCTCGGGGCCCGCGGGCCAGTGGGGTCCTTCTCAGCTGGGGCAGAGCTGTGGCCTCCAGCAGTAGAACATGGCCTGAGCCTTGTCTAGGTCAGCACGTCCTTTGTAGCCAAAGCCAGACCCTTCGATGCCAGCGAGATCCACAGGGCGGGGCAGTCGCAGGCACGGTTTCTCCTGGACGCTCAAAGGCTGCCTGGGCCTAGGCAGGTGCTGGTGGCTTGAGGCCTCATTGCATATCCTTCCCTGGGCAGTCATGGGTGGTGGCCTTAGCCCTGGGCAGAGGGGTCCTTGGAGAGGGGTTGGGGGAGAGGGATGTGGTCAGTTCCAACCAGCCATGGGGCAGTCGGTGGGGAGCAGGCTCAGGGCCAGGGTGCAGAACTGGCTGGACACAGGGACCTGCACGGGGACAGGCACAGAGGTTTAGCACCCCCTAGGGGAGGGCGCTGCGGCTGCACCACAGCAACACAATAGCTCAGGGCCTTCGGCAGACCCTCTGTGTCTATAAATAGCCAAGTGATAATAAGAACAATTTCCTGGATGAAAATAACTCCTGGGGTGGAGTATCTGTGTGTGTCTGTGTGGGGAGGGAGGTCCATACTATCTCCTTTCTTTACTTTTCCACTGAGCCAACATAAGTGACTGCCGGAGCCCCTCCACTGACCTGCTATCTGCAGGGGACGGCAGGGCCATCAGGGTGCTGGCGGGAGGGCAACCAGGACGTCTGTGCTGCTAATGAGGCCCCTGGTCTGCCCCCCACACTCCCAGCCCAGGGTGCTCCTCTGCCTCCAAATGATGATTAATGACATATTTACTGTGTCCGGGTGTGTGCTTTTCTGGGAAATAAAAATTCTGGTTCAAGCTGTTCCACCTAATTAGAGAAAAGGGAGATGCTTTCATTAAACGGGGAGAAAGGGGGAAGGCAGGTGGTTGGCTCGGCACCCATAGGAGACACAGCTTGGCTTTCAGCTCTTGGGACCCCAGACCCTGGATGGTGTCCCCGGGGAAGGGCCAGGTCTGCAGACCTGGGCTGTGCTTCCTAATCTTCTCACCTCTCGCTTTTCCTTTTCTTTCCCTCATTCCCGTCTTATAGAGCTCCCCTTTACTCATATGCAAATGAACCTTTGGACTGTGGCTTTGAAGGCCCCAACTAGGCCGAACATTCTGTCATTGGCTGATTCTCGTCACAGCCCCACTGGCCTTCCCTCCCAGCTTCTCCCCTTCACTGAACTTGGCTCTGGGGGGACACTGTGGGCCCCAGCCTCCCACCTCCTATTTCAAAACCTTGTTAGGATGCAAATCAGCTCATCCAGTGAATTATTAATGGTGAGTCTTTTGTGTCTGGGGTCACCATTTCTAAGGCCTGGGGCAGCCCTCCCTCCAGTGTGGTGGCACTAGCAGGCTGCCAGATCCCACCCCAGGCTGCCCCATGTGACCTTGATGGCAGCTCTTGCAGGTGCAGGAGTACCCAGCGCGTCTGGGTGTGCAGGTGTGTACTGGGGTTGGGTGTACATATGACACACATGCAGGAGTGAGTGCGCCAGAGCAGTAGCTTCATGGATGGGCTTCCAGCTCTCTGTCTCCATCCAAGGAGCTTTCAGGCTTCCCAGCAGCTGTGTGAGGTCTGGGGCCCGTCTCTAAACTCTGCCTGCCAGGGCACTGCTTCCTATCTGTGCCCCACTGCCCCACCCCTGAGGGCAGGCACTTGGCATTCAAAGGGCAGTGGCCCTGGAGGCTGGGTTAGCTGGGGACAGAATGCGACCTGTGTGTGGTTGTCCAGTGCAGGCAACTGTGGCCGCTCTGCTCTTCCCAAAGCCCCCGGGGCCTCAGCTGGGCAGTGGGGAGATGCTGAGCCTAAGAGACGGGAGGCCTGGTGTTGTCTGCCCGGGGACCCCAGGTGACAGGGAAGGAGGTTTGGAGGGAATGCAGTGGGTGGAACCCAACACCTGAGCTAAATAAGGGACGAGCATTGAGATGCAAATAGCCTTGAGAGGCCTCGAGTGAGACCTAATTGCCTAGCAACAAGGCCGCCTTTCCTTCCTTCTTCCCCCACCTCCCCCACCTGTGTGTCTTTTTTTTCTTTTTCTTTTTTAAAAAAAATCTCCTCTCTGCTTCCCCTTTTTATAGCTGCTTGGGGAATCCACGAGGGTCGATGCTTGAATAGGGATGTATGGGGAGGTGGAGACCTGCGCGGTGCCATTTGCCTGGACCTGCATCCTCAGGGACCCTCACTCCTGTGCCCTGGGGCCTGCAGTGATGCCCTTCACAAAGAAGGCCAGGTTGAGGAGGGTGCTACCCTGGGTGGAGACTCTAGGCACCCCCCCATAGATAGGCAGATGGGAGGGGGGATGCTGGGGTGACTGGTGGGGAGAGGCATCTCACCAGAAACCAACCCTGCTGGCACCTTCATCTTGGACTTCCATCTTCCAGAATTGTGAGAAAATAAATGGCTGCTGTTTAATCCACCAGTCTGTGGTATTGTGTTTTGGCAGCCCTAGCAGACTAGTAAAGAGTACTGATCCAACCCCTTTGTTTTACAGGAGGAAGCTGAGGCCCAGGGAATGGCTTTCCTGGGGCTACACAGACCAGGGACTGGAACCCAGGCCCCATTCCCATTAAAGGCCAGTGGGAGTGTGAACAGGGTTGCTGGGCAGAGGGTGGAGCTTGATGTCTCTGTTCCTGTTTGCAGCAGCACGGTGCCAGGAAAGGGGGCACGGTGGCCTCTGTGCAGGTCCAGCAAGGTGACCTTCTTTTTGCCAGATGGGGGTATGTCCCCTGCAGGACATAAACCGTGCCAGGGGCCAGGCTGTCCCAACTTCAGGGAGGGATTGGACAGATGCCCAGACTGGAAGGAAACACCCTTTGCCTTCCTTTTCATCTTCAGCGGACGATACACTTCTTGTGCCATGTTTTTTTATCTCATAACACAACAGGGTGGCTCCCACCCAAGACCCGAGGGAGGGATTCACCTCTCAATAGGCAGCTTCCCCCAGAATAGACTCTTGCCCAAGGAAAGGCTTTTGTTCCAGGTTCTGGCACCAGGCTCTGGGTGGGGACTGTGATCAGCAGCCTTGGGGTTGACTCCTTGGTAGGGGGGCAGCTTTGTCAGGAAGGACATAGCCTCAGAGAAGGGACAGGCCACTTTACACCCTCCACTGACGGCAAAGGCTTGCTTGTCTTTCTAAGGACCCTGGAAAAGGGGCCGGGGTGGGTTGGGAGTGGGGAGCAGGTGGTGTACCTCCAACTGTCTGAGGCCATGAGGGGAGGAGAGAGGGGTTCTGGAGGCCTGAACCTCCAGCTTCAGAGCCTGGGGTGCTGGCTGGCTCGAAGCTCTGATGCAACCTCTGAGCAGCTGCCCATCTGTCTGAGTCAGAGAGGCTCATGGGAAGGAGACCATGGTGTCTCACTACTTGTCAGCTGAGCAGGAGAGTCACTCCCTCGTCAGACCTCGGTTCCCACCTGTAGGTCAGGGAGCTGGATGGTGGATCCTTCTAGGCCCCACTCATCTTTAGAGACTCTGAGGTCCAGGAACCCTGTCTGTAGTGCCATTCACAGTCTCCTTGCATGGAGTTCAGTGGGTGCTGTTTGGAAGTTACCTGGGATTTTGTTTTCTTTCTGGTAGGGGGAGGCCAACAGATCAGGGACGGCTGTCATGGAAAAGGCTGTTACTCACAGCACTCAAGAGAAGGGCCACATGGGGGAGCACCAGGGTCTGTTGGGAGGCAGAGGGGGCAGAGGAGAAAGCCAGGGTTCGAGTGTTCAGTGTGGTTTTCCTGGGGACCCTGAGGCAGGTTCAGGGTTGGCTGGCTTGAATAGTTCTGCAGGCTCTAGGCTCTGGGGGTGGTGTAGCTACCCAGCACCTGGCAGGGGGTTGTTTAGGGCAGGAGGACTGCAGGAGGTGATGAGGGTTTGGTTGGCACACCAAAGGCGTCTTCTCTGTAAGTGTCTGGAATTAGCTAACCCTGAGAAGGGTGGTCTCTCCTCCTGGGCCTTGTCGATGTCCAACCATCATAACATACAGAAAATAAACAATGTGGCCGATATAAGGACCAGTTCAGAGCACTTGTAGCTCATAGTGCTCTGTGTGAATTAAGAAAAAGTGCCCTGTGGGCAGGAAGAGCTGGGTGAGGGGCTTGCTGAGGGTTTCAGCCCTCCCTGGCCCTTGAGCTCGGCACCTGAGACAGGGAAGCAGTCATACCTGGCAGCCCTGGAAGGTGGCCAGACTTAGCAAATAGAAACACAGGCTCTCAGTTAAGACCGAATGTAAGATAAACAGTGAGTAATTTACTAACGTGAGTATGAGCCATAAGTGTGCACCATGCAGTACCGGGGACGTACTTACCCTGCAAGGTTAGTCATTGTTTATCTGAAATTCAAACTTACTGGGCATCCCTGGGCCCTGGCCACTCTGTCCTCAGGCTCCTCCTCTCACCATCTCTATTCTTAGGGTTTTCACCAAGCCCAGCAGTTACCCCAGGAAAGAGAGAGAGGAAGAGACACAGGGCAGCACAGCCGAGAGACAGGAGGTCAGTCGAAGGGGGCCACAGCGTGAGAGAGAAAGTGATGCAGAGAAAGACAGAGACAGAGGGACAAAGAGGGGGAAACAAGAGCGACAGACAGATGGACACATAGAGTGAGAGAGAGCTGCAGGGGTAGGGAGAGCTGGGCCCCCCTCCTGCGGTCCCCGCCCCTCCTTCGCCCCCACCTGCCCCCAGGCCTCACCTTGGAGTAGGTGGCCCCGTTGATGACCTCTCCCTTCCGCAGCCAGATGATGGAAGCCGCGGGCTTGGCGTTGTCTGCGTGGCAGGTGAGGTTGAGGGGGTCCCCTGCCCGCAGGCTGATCACGGGCCCCCCCAGGATGACGGGGTCATCGGGGGGCACTGTAGGGAGAAGAGGAGAGAGGTCAGGAGGAGGGCACCCTGGTCGTCCAGCCAGGCAGCCGGCTGAGCTGGCCGACTTTATGGAGCTGATGACAAACAATAATTTTCCTACTTAAATAAACGTTAATCCCCTTGTATGGTCACAATAATAACGGCGATAATCCCGTGCACATGCACGGCATATTTATTCACAGAGGGGTCCATATCATCGTCACATCCTCTGCACACGATGAGCCTGGAGGGGACGGGGCAGGCGTCTTGAACCTTGGTCACAGATGGCAGAGCCAGGCTCCGATGCCCAGATAATATCGGTAGTTTCTTTCCTTCTCACTCCTCTCCTCTCCTTTACATGAAGCACTGTCCCATGTGTTGTCTGACTCTGTCCCCACGGCAGTCTCGCTGGTAAACATTACTATTCCCCCACTGGCAAACATGCAGAAACTGGGGCTCGGGGGGGGGGNCGGCATATTTATTCACAGAGGGGTCCATATCATCGTCACATCCTCTGCACACGATGAGCCTGTGAGGGGACAGGGCAGGCGTCTTGAACCTTGGTCACAGATGGCAGAGCCAGGCTCCGATGCCCAGATAATATCGGTAGTTTCTTTCCTTCTCACTCCTCCTCTCCTCTCCTCTCCTTGTCCCATGTGTTGTCTGACTCCGTCCCCATGACAGTCTCGCTGGTAAACATTACTATTCCCCCACCTGCAAACATGCAGAAACTGGGGCTCGGCGGGGCAGGCTCAAGGGCACCCTGCCAGTGAGTGACAGAGCCAGGGCTGGGAGCCAGGCCCTGACACCTGGAGCACGGGGCCGCCCCTTTCCTCTCCGGGGACAGGTGACAGGCACCTTTCAAGACTGAGACATCGTTTCAGGGGCTGTGCGTCCCCTGGCATCTCCTGAGCGATTGGCCCTTTCACAGCGGTGCCAGCTCCCTCGCCCCTGTGAGAAAGGGCCTCCCTGCCCGCCTCTCCCGCTGCGTGTTCAGCAGCAGGTCTGAGGCTGTGGCTGCTGCTGGGAGCCCAGGAGGGCGGAGGAGCCTGACATCTCCCTCAGTGCCCTGCACAGAGCCTGTGCCGGTGGAAGGAAGGCCCATAAACATGTGCCAACTCGACAGAGTCACACCTTTGATCCGACGATGACCGTGGAGGTAGGGCAGGCAGACATGATGATACATGACCATCGTTTGGAGAAGAGGCCCAGAGAAGTTAGGTGACAGGCCAAAGTCACAGAGCCTCTTCTAATGCCAGGGCTGTGGGCACATGGGGAGTGTGGCCTCTGATGTTCCCTGCCTCTCCTCCCTGGACAAACCACAGAGGGGCTGGTCTCCCTAGAGGCCACCTGAGCAACCCTACTCTTCCTCCCTGGAGGGGCTGGGTCCCTCAGCTCTGGAGGCTGGGAAAGGCTGACCGCACATCTGCCATGAATGATAGGGGGTAGCTGAGTGACAAGCTAGGGACCTAGAACAAACGACCCAGTTACTAGAGAAAGTCCATCTTCCCGCCCAGGACCTGTGTAAGCTTCCCCTCTGGTGGGCTCAGGGAAGGTGGCCACAGCAGCTCCAGGCGGCCCCCCAGCAGGCTCTGCCTTCCAGTTTGCCCTCCCCCCAGTAGGTGCTCCTACAACCTGCCTGGTTCCCCTCTCCTCCCCAGTTCTGTGGCTCTCCCAGGGCACCTCAAAAACAGCAGGAGGCTCTGGACATCTTCAGCTAGGGGCTCTGTGCCTCTGTCCTGCCTTGAGGGGGCCTGGGTCAGAGCTGCAGCCCCGTGAATGCCAATCCCCAGCCCTTCCAGGGAGGAGTTTCTATTCCTGAGAAAGAACAAACCCTCAGGGTCTCGAGATGCCCTCACCAGCCCCAGGACTCCGCCCGGGATCCTGGCCCAGGGAGGAAGTCTGCCTCATCCAACCCTGCCCAGCCTCTTGGGGGGCCTGGGCTCAGACAGATGGTGGGTGTGGGCTGGACAATCAAGACACTCTGTACCCCCTCATTACTGCCAGAGGCCTCCTGGGTGCGGGTGTGGCCTGTGAGCAAAGGGAGGCTAATGAGGGCTTTCCATAGTTGGGGTGGGCGTTACATTTGCTGCAGAGGGAACTTTATCTCCCTGGCATGGGCTCCTTCCAGCAGGGAGGGCTGGGGCTGGGGCTGGGCTCCTATCTCTTCCCTTGTGCGGTGGCAGCTTGCTCCCCATGAACTGTCCAGGGTGGAGGTGCTCCAGCTGAGCTTGCCGAGCGCCAGGAAGAGTGGAAAGGACCACTGGAAACTTCAGGAGTAGTATAAACTAGCCCAGGGGTGCGGCCATGGAAAGTGCCCTCCACCAGAGGGGTGACGCTGGGCAGGCAGGCCCTTCTCCTGGTTTTATTTCCTCCTGAGATGCAAAATGTGAAAGTTCAACAGGGGATCTGGAACGTTCTCTCCAGGACTGACATTCGTCGGGCCTGAGGCAGTGGTTCTTAATCCTGGCCGCATATTACAGTCTTCTGGGAGAGATTTTTAAAATCAGGGCCGCACACTGACCCGCTGAACCAGTCTCCGGAGGTGGGCCCAGAAGCAGGGGCTTTGAAAGCTCTCAGAGGGTTCCCGTGTGTGGCCAAGTCAAAGAACCAAATGTCTCTGGGCCTCTGCTCCTGTGATCACAGTGTGGAGCCTGAGGAGGCCTTTCCAAAAAGCAAAGGCAGGCGAGGGGTGGAGCCTTTCCTTCCTGCTCCCAGGGCTGTGCTGGGAGTACTGGATTCGGGGAGCGAAGACGGGGAGGGGGGCTGGGGCTGCGCAGTGTGAGTACTCAGGCGCGCACACACTAGCACACACAATATCCAGGCTCAGAATGGGTCCTGATTGCATCTTCCCAAATAAGCGGTTATCACGCAGTTATTCATGGAGCTATGCATTACTGATTGGCCTTCGCCTGGCTGCACACCAGATGGGGTGGGGGTGCAGATGGGGCTGGGGTGTGTGGGGAGGGTGGGTGTAGAGGGAGGATGTTGTGGGGCCCACAGGCTGCACAGAAATCAACAGTGGTTCTGGCAGCTGAAGCTCCCCTGTAAGGAAGGGGCGACTCACTCCCTCTCTCTAGAGGGGCCCCGAGCTGAGGCTGGGGGGCGGGGGGGTCTGGAGCAGCCTGAGCCTGCACATGCATTATTCACAACGCCCCTCGCAGGATTGGTTATTATCTTGAACCACCACAGAGTTCGGGCTCCTAATTTTTAATCACAGGGAAGGCGGAAACGTTAGCCTTTTGTGATTAATCTGGAGATAAAAATAGTTGACTGTTTTGTGTTGTGCTTACTGTCAGTCAGGACAAAATGCATTAACTGTCGGGTGGCTGAGGCCCGTGGACGACCTGAGCGGATCCCGGGAAAGCTGGTCCCCAGAGCTGGAAGCCAGCCTGCGGAGGCCACTGCCCANATCTTCAGCTAGGGGCTCTGTGCCTCTGTCCTGCCTTGAGGGGGCCTGGGTCAGAGCTGCAGCCCCGTGAATGCCAATCCCCAGCCCCTCCAGGGAGGAGTTTCTATTCCTGAGAAAGAACAAACCCTCAGGGTCTCGAGATGCCCTCACCAGCCCCAGGACTCCGCCCGGGATCCTGGCCCAGGGAGGAAGTCTGCCTCATCCAACCCTGCCCAGCCTCTTGGGGGGCCTGGGCTCAGACAGATGGTGGGTGTGGGCTGGACAATCAAGACACTCTGTACCCCCTCATTACTGCCAGAGGCCTCCTGGGTGCGGGTGTGGCCTGTGAGCAAAGGGAGGCTAATGAGGGCTTTCCATAGTTGGGGTGGGCGTTACATTTGCTGCAGAGGGAACTTTATCTTCCTGGCATGGGCTCCTTCCAGCAGGGAGGGCTGGGGCTGGGGCTGGGCTCCTATCTCTTCCCTTGTGCGGTGGCAGCTTGCTCCCCATGAACTGTCCAGGGTGGAGGTGCTCCAGCTGAGCTTGCCGAGCGCCAGGAAGAGTGGAAAGGACCACTGGAAACTTCAGGAGTAGTATAAACTAGCCCAGGGGTGCGGCCATGGAAAGTGCCCTCCACCAGAGGGGTGACGCTGGGCAGGCAGGCCCTTCTCCTGGTTTTATTTCCTCCTGAGATGCAAAATGTGAAAGTTCAACAGGGGATCTGGAACGTTCTCTCCAGGACTGACATTCGTCGGGCCTGAGGCAGTGGTTCTTAATCCTGGCCGCATATTACAGTCTTCTGGGAGAGATTTTTAAAATCAGGGCCGCACACTGACCCGCTGAACCAGTCTCCGGAGGTGGGCCCAGAAGCAGGGGCTTTGAAAGCTCTCAGAGGGTTCCCGTGTGTGGCCAAGTCAAAGAACCAAATGTCTCTGGGCCTCTGCTCCTGTGATCACAGTGTGGAGCCTGAGGAGGCCTTTCCAAAAAGCAAAGGCAGGCGAGGGGTGGAGCCTTTCCTTCCTGCTCCCAGGGCTGTGCTGGGAGTACTGGATTCGGGGAGCGAAGACGGGGAGGGGGGCTGGGGCTGCGCAGTGTGAGTACTCAGGCGCGCACACACTAGCACACACAATATCCAGGCTCAGAATGGGTCCTGATTGCATCTTCCCAAATAAGCGGTTATCACGCAGTTATTCATGGAGCTATGCATTACTGATTGGCCTTCGCCTGGCTGCACACCAGATGGGGTGGGGGTGCAGATGGGGCTGGGGTGTGTGGGGAGGGTGGGTGTAGAGGGAGGATGTTGTGGGGCCCACAGGCTGCACAGAAATCAACAGTGGTTCTGGCAGCTGAAGCTCCCCTGTAAGGAAGGGGCGACTCACTCCCTCTCTCTAGAGGGGCCCCGAGCTGAGGCTGGGGGGCGGGGGGGTCTGGAGCAGCCTGAGCCTGCACATGCATTATTCACAACGCCCCTCGCAGGATTGGTTATTATCTTGAACCACCACAGAGTTCGGGCTCCTAATTTTTAATCACAGGGAAGGCGGAAACGTTAGCCTTTTGTGATTAATCTGGAGATAAAAATAGTTGACTGTTTTGTGTTGTGCTTACTGTCAGTCAGGAC